TCAGAATTAGTTTGAAATTTAAAAGATGGTTTGTGATAATCCTAAGAGGAGATATATAAAACCCTTAATGATGAAAGTTACAATATAGTCCTTATAAAAGGTAATTAAAATTGTTATTGTTGGAAATAGTTTGTTTTCTGGGTAATGTTTAAAACTGATTTTGGTGGCATTTTAACAGTAGCTGGCAATTTTGAGTAGAAACACTCCATTGCTCTTCAAACAAAGCCAAAGTACATGGATATTTTCCATCATTTTGGAGTAACTACCCTGCCTTTTTGTTTTGTCAATTCATGGAATCATTCTTCAGTGTGCCACCAAGTGTTTTTTCTCGACTCAAAATATATTTGTTTCCAAATAACCAAGAATGTGCAATAGTATAAAGTTTGGTTTTTAAAAACATTACACTTAAGCATTGTGGCTAAATTTTTAATTGACAACTTTTGGCTAAAACATTTTGGAGTTTTTTAAATCTTGGCTGCAAACTAGTTCTTTGGGGAAAATTGTTTTAAAATGAACATAATTCTGTATATTGGGTAAAAATATGTTACAGATTGAAATTTTTTTCACATCAGTCTTTTGAGAGAGATCAACTTAGGTAAAATAAATATATAACACTATTTGTTAGTGTTCGGTTGACAAAGGGATGGATTCTGTGGACCTAAGTCAGTGTTTCTCCAGAAGCATGAATTTGCCTGCCAAAAGAAAGCAGCTCTCTTTGGCCAGAATGCAAAAATTATATTGCTATAAGAAAAGTTACAAGGGAAAGTTTGAAGACACAATTTAATTTTGGCTCAAAAAGTGAATTTGCTTAACACTGCTACATAATTTGGTAAGGTTTCCTTCTTCCTGTTTCTCTTGACCTAGATAAATACATTTTGAGAAACCAAGATCTAATTAATATCAACCAACATTAAAACATAGCTGTGTGATTAAAATAAAAGGTGAGTGGTCACTTTATTTATAATTAGCATTTCAGGGAATGAAATAAAGCAGGGAAGTAGCACTGCTTTCAGACTGGAAAAAAAAGACTGAAGCTTAATATCTTAATTTATAAAACAATATAGTGAAAATGTTAATATTTTGTGTTTTCCCCCAGAATTGTATTTTAATGATTATAAACACATTCCAAATATTCAGGGACTTATTTATCAGAAAGGGTTCTTACCAAATGTGTAAAAATAACATCCTTTAATTCTATAAATTACAAAATGGTATCAAGGTGGTTTTTTGTTTTTTAAGGACAAAATAGTTTTATATTGCTTCAATTTCTTTAAATACCTGCTGTTTCTTTTGAGGCCAAAAATTTATAACAAGGAAATGAGTCAGCCTGATTCCAGCATTTTATGACCTTAAAGCACCATAATTGGCTTCTTTTAATGTGTCCTAATCCTTGGTTAAGTTAATGTGTATCTGATGTAAACTAGCTAAGTTACTGAATGCTCTAATGAGGGAAAAGAAAGGAATTTCTATGATTAAAGTGGAAAAAGTAGGACTTTCAGCGGGATTCATTACAAAAAGCTGAGATATTTAAAAATATGGGTTCTTTAGCTATCCAGTCATGTGAATGTTTGTTACATGTTCAATGGACATTAAAAATAAGTCACTGGACACCTGGAACTACCATCACATCAAAATGAAAGTGTTGAAAAGTAGAGTATTTTTTGAATTAAAATATATTCAAGTTGATCCATATTCAAGTATTTTAATACTTCAAATTTGTTCTTTCCACATCTGTTTAAAACTATTGTTAAATGTTAGTATATTCTTTTGGATTGTGCCTTTGTGTTTGTGTCATGAGTCAACTGAGAAAAGTAGTCATACAAATACTGTGAAAGTTACTGCCACAGCATGAATGTACAATTATATTAAATTTAATCCACAGAAGTCTGTTTCGATGTGCTTTATGTTATTAGATTTGTTCAAACTTCAGATCATTATTTCTCTCCACTGTGCCAGTTTGGGTTTGTACATATTTTCATTAACCCCCATGGTTTTTTGAACATTTCCTATAAAAGTATTTCTTCTTTATATTGCTCTATAAAAAGTTGCATAATTTCCATTTCTTCTGTTGGATTTCCTAGAGAACAAAATCTCTCAAAAATAAGTTCTTCCTTTTCTGTACTAATTGTCTCAGATATCTGTATTCCTTTTACTGTCAAGAGACTTGATTAGAACATGGTATTTTTTTCCATTTAATTCATGTATTATCCAAGCACCCACACGAAGACAAGGAAAGTCTAAGCACTAAGGATATAGTACAAACAAAACAGTCCTAGCATGTGAGTACAGCAATGTATAAGGTCTAAGAGGTAAAATATGAAACAAAAGGTAGTATTCTTAAAATAACCATTGTGTTACATTATACTTTAAGAGCCTTTAAGAGAAACATACTGTAGACAGGTTAAGATACACATGTAGATTGACCTCATACGTAAATTTAGATTGCTTTTTAAAAAGGCAAGAGATCTAGTAGCTTTAATAGAGTCAGGCATAATTTAGGTGGTCATTTTAGTATCATTGAATGGAACTTTAAAAAATAGAATACAACTTAGGTGCATTTAAGACATCCAAACACTTCATGGCCTGTATGCTTAAAATAAGACTTGAAGGTAACACCATATCTGGGGCTGACTGCCAATCTATGTTAGTTCCTCCTGGCTACATCTGTTTTCAGCACAGAGGAGTCAGAACAGTACAGTTCCAATTCCATCCAGACCTGCATTCCAGCTTCCTGCTTTTTATTTTATTTTTTTTTGTCAAATTCAGCTCAGATATCTCTTGGCAACTTTAGATAGGTGAGAGAAAAGCCTTGTTACTAAAGTTCTTTCCAAACGTTCGCATAACTGCTATTCAAAAGAACAGAAAGGTACAAAATCAGCCTGGTTGATTTTGTTTCCCTTGTTTTGTCCATGGAAGTGACCAAGTTTGAAACCAATTATTGAATACATAGAATTCCAGTGTAATTATGTACCAAGACAAATACAGTTAATATTCATGAAAAGCTAATAATTACAATCTAAATAACTTCAACATCTCAAAGATGCCTAGGAAGTTCAGGTAATTCTTTATATACTTTTTCCTATTATAATTTGCTTTTTATACCTGAAATGAATCCAACTCTAAACACAGGATATGAGTAGATGAATTATTTTTCAATAGTGAAAATTATTTTCTCCATAATTAAGATGCACCAAATTTATATACTCAGATTGCTTTAGATGGGCACATTTGTGTTCAGTAAGTATATTGTCAATGACAGTGCAAATAATTACTAGGTCCAAAACAAAGACTGGCACAGATCTACATACAATGGCTCATTGTCTCTAATGGGACATTATTGGGATTTCTCATGTATTCTTAAAAATTCTGTTTTAAAATAAGGAATAGGTGGAAAAGCATTTAGTGGGGAAAATTTTAGGTGAAACTTTAGCCTAAATTAAAACTGATTTATGACATTTAAAAACTGAGAAAAGGGGGCAGGCCTGACTTATACTGGGTGCTAAGAAAAACCAGGATCAGATTAAACATTTCGGGTGAATCACAAAACTATTCATCCAAATTATTATTTAATATCTTGTTCTCAATCCTGATTATGCATCAAACCTCAAACACACTGATTCCAAGTCTATAAAGTTGGGATCTGGGCTTCTGTTTTTAAAAGCTCAAAAGATTAATGTAGTAGACATTGTTGGCTGCCCACCTTTTTCTCTTTCTTACCAGAATCCTGATTTAAACAATTATCCATTCTGCCCACATGTGCCGCAGAGGACGAGAATTCTACTTCCAGCTCCAGTAAACTAGGCTGGCTTATGGGTCCTTTCAGGATAGGTCTAAGCTATTTTAGATCAGTAAGACCCAAGGATTTGGTGGCAAATTTGGGGAAAGCTTTTTTATATTAAGGGCTGCTGGAATACAGCCTGACTCCTCCACTGCATGTAAATGAAGGTGTCATACACGGCCTGAGCTGCTATTGGCAACCATTCCATGAAGGTAGCCAGCCTTAGGAGGATGCCAATGCTGCAGCTGAAAACAGGAGGAAAACCCAAGAGGTTCCTAATGACACTACTGAATCACTGGATCAGAAATACTGAAGCCCGCCCTAGCTGGTTTGGCTTAGTAGACAGAGCACTGGCCTGTGGACTGAAGGATCCTGGGTTCAATTCCAGTCAAGGGCATATACCGTATTTTTCCGTGTATAAGACGCCCCTCACTTTTCTAACCCAAAATTAAGAAAATATTTTAAACATTTTGCTGGTTTTCCTCTAAAGGCCTTCTTTTTTGGATCTTAGGGAGTTGTTCCTGTTTTCTCCACTGTCTGATCATGTACTCAGTGGGAGGAGGTCCAAATTGTGTCTCTGCAGCTCTATTTCCATGCTCTCTTGCATAGCTGATTACATTCAGTTTGAATTTTGCAGAGTCAGACAATCGCTTACTGGTATTTATCTTATTTTTTGACACCTTTATGGGCTCAGAAAGCTCCAGTTCTTGTTGTACCTGTGCACTCTCCACTTCCACCTCCAATTAGGGCATCAGTTGATGTAACAATAAGCTTGTGATTGGAGGAAACCTGTTTGACAAGGTATGGGCAGCTACGCACCCGCACAGCTCCCTCCTCAGTTGACTTCCGTGTATAAGATGCCCCTCGTTTTTCAGTCTAATGATTTTAGGAAAAAATAGCTTCTTATGGACAGAAAAATACGGTACCTAGGTTGCAGGCTGGATCCCTGGCCCTGGTCAGGGAGCATGCAAGAGGCAACCAATCCCTGTGTCTCTCACATTGGTATTTTTTTCTCTCTCTGTCTCTCCCTCTCCCTTCTCTCTCTAAAAATTAATGGTTAATTTCCTCGGGTGAGGATAACAACAAAAAATACCAAAGCCCAATGTATCAATACATTTTGTCATTTTAAGTTAAAATTTTAGTTATTTGAATCTGAAAGCAAGAGGGATCCCAGAATAGCATTCTTTGAAACATAATAATCTGTATAAAAACCACACAAACACTCCTTTGTACTTATTTAATATGCAAATCTGAAATTGATTTACCTTTCCTCTTTTAACAAAAAATCTAAATATAATTTGTTATATTTTTCTAATATTTGAGCTGAACCGTATTTAAAAGTTTATATTCATTGCATTCACTTCATTATTTACTCAAAGTTTTTGCTATAGGCTCTGTCTTGAATGTGTAAGACCATTCGCCGTGCATAGAAGTCCCTGTACTCCTCTGGTAATTCAGCCAGTGTTTTTAAGGCTCTGTCCAAAATTTGTGCAGCTCTTGATGCTGCTGTGAGATCTTTGTTTCCATAGGTATCTGTCTTATCATAGCATTCAGACGGAAGGTGTTTCCAAAAGACATTCACTCCCACTCCAAACTCTTCAGAAATTACATTATGGAACCATAAAGCTGAAGAAAAAATTTTAAAAAGTTAAAAATAAAACCTACAGTTAAAAAAAACAAAAACCCACCAAAATGTCAGTGAAATATCACAAATTGCATATAAGATGTAAGAAATAATTCTTGTAACTAGACCCTTTCGTTAGCATACTCCCAGCTTTTAACAGAATCATTTTAACTTTTATGAATTGCCAACCAATTTAAAGTGTCAATAGCACAAACCTACATTTAAAACCTTTTCAAATAGCAATTTTTCCTTTTTAACTTGAAAGACATAATAAAGTTATATTTGTTTTACAGATATGTAATTTGAAGCTGTATTTTATGTTACTTGTTTACACTTCCTGAGTCACACAACCACATCAAAAGTATGTTTTGTACACAGAACATTTCAATTACTTGAGGAGTATACAGTAGGGCCTTGACTTATGAGTGTCCCGACTAACGAGTTTTTTGAGATAGCAGCTGTCTCTCGGCTGATTTTTTGCATTGAGTTGACAGAGTAATTTGAGTTAACGAGCTCCTTAAAGAGCTCGGTCTCGAAACGAATTAAACTCGTAAGTCAAGGCCCCACTGTATTTGACCTTTTCTGACTTAGCACAATACCTTTGTTCTCAAAGACTGCCTGTTCAAGCTGCATTTGCTAACTTGCTTAAATTTGCATTCAACTTCAGTTTTATATTTCTAATGCAATCATAATCATATTTTTAAGCTCCTTTACAATCCATTATATATATATATTTATATATATATGCGCCTAAGAGATCGTTATGACCAGTCAACCGAACAACCAGTTGCTATGACCTGCACTGACCACCAGAGGTTGGCTGTGCATATATTTCAAAATATATGCAAATGTTTAGTATTTCTGGACATTTTTTTCCTTTTTAAAAAGGTTGTACACAGAATAACGGAAAACTACACAGCCCTTAATCATGCTCTAAAGATAAAAAAAAAAATTAAATAATGGCAATAGACTTAAAGACTACTGTGCTGGTTTTTCAATAAATACAAGAATCAGAAGTCAATGTATCAAACTTTATAGACAATAATGTGAAGGACATTGTATCAAGCCACTTGGGGAATACAAAGATTAACAAAACATGGTTCCCTGTCTTCAAGGAATTTATAATCTATCTGCAAATGAGATCAGCAAATTTTTAGTAATACTTAATTCTATCATTAGAGAGGTATTAATGATTTTAAAAATATTAACTTAAAAATGGGAAAATTATATAGAGAATTTGTTAATACAACCATTTAATCTGAATTATGATTTTTATAAATTTCAGGTATTTACTTCAGAATAATCCTATATAATAAAAGGCTAATATGCAAATTGTCCCCTCAGGCGTTCTACCAACTGGGAGTTTAACTGCTCGCTATGACATGTGCTGACCACTGGGGGAGAGGTGCAGAACAAAGGAAGGCGCTGGCTGGCAGCTAGGGGAAAGAAGGCCCCGGCTGGCGGCTGGCAGCTGGGGGAAGGAAGGCCCCGATAGGCCCTGATCGCCAGCCAGACCTAGGGACCCTAACCGTGCATGAATTTCATGCACAGGGCCTCTAATAATTATAGATGTTAATTATATCACTGGTTAGCAGCAACAACTAATGCCTATTTACAAAGAAATTAAGTAATACATTAAAACTGTAGAAAATAATGAACACAAGATATCACAGGTGTTAAAGATTATAACATTTTGATATTTAATAAAATCTCTAATCTATTTTGGCTATGAAATACATTTAACATTTCTTGGTAAATACTGAAATGACAGTTCTAAAATACATAAATATTTTAAAAATAAAATGATTAAAAAGAACAACCAGATAGAATCTTTTCCCAGATATAAATCATCTTCCTTGATGTCATTTAATAGAATAAAGTATAATAATATATTTATAGGTTGCCTTCAAAAAATAAGATTTAATTTTATAAGAATTTGCCAAAGCATACTTTAAAACACATACACACAATTGTATATAAAAATCATTTTTTATAGGCCAGCATACATATAACAAATATATTTTGAACTAAAAAATCATATAATGGGTAAGCGATAGAGTACAGCTTTTATAAATAGCAAATTACAGAGGTCCAGAAATCTTACCAGGAATGAATAATACATCTCCAGCATTAAGGGAACATTCATACCTTCTAGCCTTGGAGAACAGTGGATACTTAGCTAAGTCTGGGTCATCTATATTCAGTACTTCTGATTTAGTACCTGAAATGTCCCAAAAAAGAATAATACATATTGAGCAAAGTTAGCCTTTTTATAAAAGTAATTACAAATGTAAATTTGAAAATTTATTCTTTTCTGTATGACTTTCTATACCCACACTGTGAAAACAATTACCATTCTCCTGAAACCTAATACATTTTCCAATGACTCATCCTTTATGTATGACCACTGCCATTCATGTAATACAATTAAGAAAATCTATAAATCTCATTCTTCATTTAGCCTAACATTACATGTGTACACATACAAAATGGAACACAATACATTTTAATTAGGAAGAAGCCCTAACATGTTTTTCTATGAGAACAGAGAGATGTCTCAAAAAAGAGTACTAAATAAATCAACCTTTAAAAACAAAAACTTAAAAAAAAAAGAAAATACCTGATAAATATAAATACTGGGCATCTCGAGGACTGAACAGTACAACACGCTTTTTTCCTGTCACTTGTATTAGGAAATTATCCATTACCTGGAAAGCAGTAAGAACTTATGAATAAACAGTATCTAAAATTCACATAAACAAAACCAATGGTATTCCAAATAGTGAACTGTAAATCCTATCCTTTAATAAGACGTGGCTCACATTATGTAAAATCTTAAGAGTAATGTTCTAATGCAGGGGTGGGCAAACTTTTTGACTCGAGGGCCACAATGGGTTCTTAAACTGGACTGGAGGGCCGGAACAAAAGCATGGATGGAGTGTTTGTGTGAACTAATATAAATTCAAAGTAAACATCATTACATAAAAGGGTACGGTCCTTTTTTTTTTTTAGTTTTATTCATTTCAAATGGGCCGGATCCGGCCCGGGGTCCGTAGTTTGCCCACGGCTGTTCTAATGTAACAATGAAAACATTTGTATTAAAAACACCACTGTTCATTTATGGAAGATATTTCTGTAGCACTACCTTAACATGGAAAGGGTGGGCAAGCCATTAGGAAATCTGTAGTTGCCTCACCATTATGACAGGGAGGGAAGTGACACTTATTTGAGGCTCCCCGCTTTGGTTTTATTACTTATCTGTCCAGGAATGCTAGAAGGCCAGTACTCAACAACAAATTAAAAGCACCTAGAAATATTAGGTGTTGAAAAAATACAAGGTCCTGTGGCAACCACTGCTCTTTCAATGACTTAATATATGGCCATAATTTGTTTATAGCAGCAGTCGCCAACCGGTGGTCCGCAGACCACTGATGGTCCATGAAGTCTGAAAGGTTGGCAACCACTGGTTTAAGGAAACCTTTGGAGCAGCGGTCACCAACCGGTGGTCCATGAGGTCCAAAAGGTTGGCAACTGCTGGTTTATAGGCATCTTAATTTTAAATTATTTCTATAGGACTATAACCTTGCAAATTTTCTTGACATACTTATTACTGGGGCAATCATGACTCTTCCTGTGTATGCAAGGGTGCACTTTGTTGGTAGATTGTGAAAAATGTTAAAAGCCAGAGTGACGTAATTCTCAACAAAACAATTAAAATAATACAAACAAGATATATTCATGATTATTTACATACTAGAGGCCCAGTGCACGAATTCGTGCACAGGTGGGGTTTCTCAGCCTGGCTGGCAATTGGGACCCATTGGCTGGCTCGGGGGAGGGAGGGAGCGCGGGAGGTTGGCTGTGGGAGCGCACTGACCACCAGGGGGCAGTTCCTGCGTTGAGCGTCTGCCCCCTGGTGGTCAGTGCGCATCATAGTGACCGGCTTTTATATGTATAAATAGATCATTTCTACCTAAGCATTTTTCCTTTTACCCACCTTATAAACCTTAACTATATAATAACCAAAGGGCGTTCCAAAAATTGTATACACACTTTAACAGCTCATAATTTTGAAAATGAACTGTATGTTAATACTGACTTTATAATCATTCAAAGCCTGTAACCAGTTAGTAGCTCACTTAATTTTGAAAATAATCTGTATGTTAATAAACACTGACTTTATAACCATTCAAAGTGTGTATAATTTGGGGGGGGGACACCCTGTATACTACTACTATTCCTTTGACTTATTTTTAATTTAAGAAAAGCTTTATGATATTCCATAACTCAATATAAAAAGGATACTACTTAAAATTAAAAATATAACCTGAGAATTCAGTTAAAATGTATTTGAGTTATCACATCATTTTCTCATCATATCATTTACATGAGACCTTTAAAAAACAATATGCTAGGATTTTGTCTATCTCAATTATAAAGTTACTATGTTAAAATCCTCTCAAGAGATCGTCAGCTGAATTATAAAACATACTTATAAAAATTAATATAGTTGGACTCAGAACTTTTTTAAAAAAGAATTCCTTTATCTTTATAAACATATTAGGTATTAGCTTTAGCTTCCTAAATTTCTCCACCCAACACCAAACCATACACAATACCAGATTTTTAAAGTTTGTAAAACATTTCTATCCATTAAGCAAATAAAATTATAACACCATAGAATAAATTATCAAGATCAATAATCTACACATCTTGCTACTCAACACATAGATATCTGACACTCTCAGGGGATATATACCTAAGACCTTCTGATGAGTGAAAATGGCTGTCCACAAGCTCCTGACTCATACCACAACCTTATCACTTTTTCTACTTCCACCATTTTCCTCCTCATCTGGTGGCCATTTCTCACATGTTAACAAACAAAAACACCTAATAAAACGTTATATATGACTAGAGGCCCGGTGCATGGATTTGTGCACACTGAAAGGACATTAACTAGAAGGTGGCTGGTGGGGAGGGACTGGGCGAGATGGGCTGGACACGCCCTGGAGCCAAACTCCCACGGTCTCTCCCTGGCCAGCTGCACCTGGGGCAGTGCTGGGGCTCGAAGGGCATCTAGTGAGTGGGGTCCCTCGGCCTGGACTGTGGGGATTGGACTGAAACTGGCTGTCTGACATCCCCCAAGGAGTCCCGGAGTGCGAGGGCACTCTGCAAAGTTGCTGTCGCTCCACAGCTCCTGCATTGTCTGCCCCCTGGTGGTCAGTATGCATCATAGCCACTGACCGGCCATTTGGTCACTTAGCCTTTTATATATATAGTTGATGAATCAAGAACAAGACCACTGAGAATGCAAATGTGATAAACTAGGCTTTGGTGTTAGCTAACAATTCATTTCCATATCACCGCCTTGCAGAGCATCTGTTTTCAACCTCATGTTTTAGCAAATTACATGTCGAAGATATTTAAGGTAGCCCACAGAGCTGAAACTGTGACTGTTAAATCTATCAATGCTAAACATCTACAGTAGCTTAGGTTTCTCATCTGTGTAGCATACATCATAGTGGGTCCAAAGTTGTAATCCCGGTGAGCTAATTCGAAAAACACTGGAAAAGAACTGCTCCTCTTTGAAGAATTTTGGAAACTTAATATCTTCTTCCAATAAAGGAAACTGCTTTCTGATATCTGCAACATCCTGCATTGAGAGGAACACAATAAGAATTTTAACAAAACAACGCTGGCACAATGCTTATTTTATCTAAGACTGCCATCAGAATCCATGATATAAAAGAGAAATGGAGTGAAACTCTGTTCACTGCTTTAAAATACTAGGACATGACCATAGCCACCAATGAAGTAATACACACTGTGTAACAAGACTGCAGATTTAACACTGTTTAGAGCTTAATATGCTTCATTTATAGAAAGGTTCTTCCTACTTTAAGCAAGAGTCATACAGCTGTTATCTAATATTAAGTATCTTAAGTTTAGGAGTCATCAACTTGAATGTTATCAACTATGTAAACCTGTGGTCTGAGGAAGGAGAATGAAGGCAAAGACCTAATGTAATCTTACTTAATTATTTCAGGGATACTCTTTAGCACTACAGCCATATAAATTAGACTCTGGATGCATGTCAAAGCTTATATAATGAGTTATTCAGAATTTTTATAATTATTTAAATTTATATGTTATTAGGTGAACTGCAATCTGTAAAATATACAATAGAAAGAATTTCTTAATAATGTACAGATTACCAGTAGATGACTTTAAACACTAAGATTCTATGGTCCTACTTGAAAAACTAAGTTATCAACTTTTAATAATCATACTTATTCGAATCATTAAGGAAAGAATGAAAAACGATAAAACAGATCATACGACAGGCAGCAAGTATCAAAATTATAGTGCCAGTTTATATATATATACATCCATTTAAGCTTGAAGCAATTGTTTCATATTCAGAATTCTTACCTTTCTAGGGTCTTCCCCAAGTGACCGTAAGTAGTACTTTTCATCCTTAAATGTCCCAGAGAAAAATAACATCAATACTCACTTAGAAATATTAGAAAGTAAAGATGAAAGGAAGTAAGTATTAAAATCTAACCCAGTGAAGTCGTTTTCCAAAAAGTTACATCTTCTTACCCTTTCTACTAATGCTCTCTGGTGGCCGTATGAAGAAAAGTCTTTACATGCTGCTTGTAATAATGACTGAATCCATAAAATATAAGTAAAATAAGTTCTAAAAGCAATACACACATACCACATCTAAAGCCACATTGTTCAATTTAGACTTTATACTCCAAATTATTTAGACTCAACATTGTCTTAAGACTTCAAAGAATTCCCATATGTACAACACACATGATCTCAAAGTATTGTGAATGCCAACAAAAAAGTTCTTATTTAATGTAATACAAATGTACAATAGGGGATAAATAAAATAATCTTTTAATAATTTTTTAAAATTCTGAATTGTATTTTATCAAGCTAAGCCTATCCCTGATTATATAAATTCTCAAGCCAAATTCTTAAGAGTCAGCTCATGTATGTGAATTAGAAATGTCGTTTTATAGCAGTAAGTTTGCTACAATACAAAAAATCACCAGTTGTACTGCACTGAGTAGCTATAATAAGGAATTGTTTGAATGAGAAAACATTTCTGTTGCCTGCATTTCCTATGAGAATTAGATAACTGAGATATACTGGGTCAAGCACAGGGGCATTCTCCCGTTTTTATACCTACATTGACTGTTAACACAAACTTCATTTACGTTATTAAACTTTATTTGCTTTTATAAATCTGCTAGAGGCCCGATATACAAAATTCGTGCAAGGGGCTCGGCCCTTGCAGCCCCACCTCATCCAGAAGGACATCGGTCTAATTAGCATATTATGCTTTTATTATTATAGATGATCAGAAATGTAAACTTTCAGATTAATTGTTTTTATATTATTAGATAGTACCATATCAAGTAAATTCTATGAATTTATTACTGGCTAGACAGGTTTCAAAATATGTTCTCAACATTCTAAGAGTTTTCTACCAGTTCTACTATTTCAAGATTTAAATAAATTCATGTGGCAGATAGAGACTCACTTCTCAGACCCCCTTCAAGAGTGTGATTGACTTCCAGCTGCCAGCTGTTAGCTCCCTCAGGTCCGTCTCACTTTTTGAACCAATGTCCTGCTCTTCTTGGAGTTCCCCCAACTAATGACTGAGTAAAACGGTAAAAGCCTTGACACTGCTACCCCACAAGGACTCCTCTACAGGCAGGGTTGCTCAGGAGTTCCATGATATTTAAAGTGAATTAAAGGTGGATTATAATGTAAATAAGTAGACTTCTTCTGAATAAATGTTAAAGCAAATTAAAAAAGTAATCACACTGAGAGTAACTAATAATAAAATAAAGAAATAGTTCTCCATTAGCATTTGAACTTGGTATATCAAACCAAAGCATTTTCAATGGAAGTAATACTAATAGCTAACATTTAGTGAGTAGTTTCTAGTCAGGCACTGTGCTAATAATTACTCTACAGATTAGATTTAGTGAATTGTACTGTTATGATTCATATTTTATAGCTGAGTACACTGAGGCACAGAGAAATAATCTGGCCAAGATTTACAACCTAATAAATAGTAGAACTAATATCTATGGCATATACAACCAAGCCGTAAGAGTGGCTATTAGAGAAGGATACAGCTCTTGTATATAAAATATTCTCTTATAAGAAAATCCATTTAGTATATAGATATTAATGTTTTCTAAAAAAAATGTTAGAACCAATTACCTCTGAAATAAAGAATTCTTTATGCTTTTCTTCAGCTGCCCTCTGAACCAACTTGTCAAAAGGTAAAGTTCTGAAATAAACACAAGAGAATCCTTGGACTTAATAATAAATCAATTAATAATACTCTAATCATTATATATTATAGGGGTTTGTTGAAGTTGGATATGACCTCTTTTACAATAACCATAATTTTTATTATAATCTATTATGTGGAATTCTAAATTTTCAAAATTCATTTAGCACTGTCCTTACTTGACCTAGGTTGTCTGATATTCCTATTTCAAAAATTAAAGATTTTTAAATCTATGGTACAGATGGATCCTTCTCATATGCCAATATCCTCTTATTCCAAGTTTTTGTTAGAAAAATGTTCCTATGATGTTTGGTTACCTTTGGAAATACACACTTTCAAGCTCTTGTGATGATGGGGCAACTACTAATAATCCTCCTTTGGAAGAGACAGTAAGCAAAGGGTCAATGAAGGTCAAGTCCCCCCACTCCCAACTGGTCTTCCTGCCTTTTGGCGTCAGCAGAGAACACAAGCTTCTAACACTACTCTCATCCTCCTGAACCACGCTCTGTCATTTTAAGGCTTCTGAGGAATATCTCGAGAATTCCAGTGAAGTGACAATGTTTTATTCTTCAATATTTCTCGCAAATGCCTGGCTCCTTCCACCTGGTTGAAAAGGCTGAACATTGTAAAAGCAAAGTGTGTTTCCTTCACCTCACATTCCTGAGCCTTGAAAGTTATTTTTTCTCCTGGTCCCATCCTATCCCTTCAAGAATCAAAAGTACTACCCCTACATAAAGACGATCCCTTATCAGTAACAGTAAGACAATCAAGTCCTCAAAAGCACCAAGGCCAAAAGCCTCTCCCCTCTTCCAGCAATGAACTGCAGCCTCCAAACCTCTGATTAAAAGTTATCATCTTTTCACTTTTACTTTCCCCTGAAATCTGTACTGGGAAGATGGGGAGAAAGGGTTGGCCCTACTTTTTCCTAGCAATGTTTTCCTACACACATACCGGTTAAGATAAATGTGGAATTCAACTGTGACATCAGGTAATACTGTTTATTGGTGAACTATGCCTGGCGAGAGAGCTGGTGGTGGACTGTAAATATTGTTAGGAAGCAGGGGATTTGGCATCCTTATGGGTAGTGTAACTCTTGCAACTGAGTATGCCCTTAGAGAAACCTGCGTCAGTTCATGGGTTGTTTGTGCTACTGGTGTCTAAGCTAGGGTTCACTTTTATAGTCTTGTTCCCTTACAACAAAGCTGTTATACTTGGTGAGCCAAAGATGGCTCCGGGATTGGCATAAGGACTCCTACTGATACTATCCTGCTAGAATGCTTTTTTTCGGCAAATCCAAGTGAACCTGATGCCAGATTATAGACTAGTGGATCCTGTGAGCATGAATGTCAACTGAACTTGAGGACACTGCTGGTACTGTAGAATGAGCACTGTGAGGGAAAAGGAGCCTGCCATCTACTCAGACCAATCTTCTACTATAGTTTCTGCCTAATAATATAAACAAATTTACTTACCATCCTCCTATTCAGTTTTTCCATCTCTGACCTCTCCATATACCCTTCATTCCTACCAAAGCATCTTTGAAGAGTCTGGGGGCAATGGGGAAGCCTCTCTGTCCCAGAGCCACCTCTGTAATTGGTGCAGTTGCCCAGGCTTAGATTGTTACTAAAGAGAACCCAGAACTGTTTCGAGACCTTTATAAGAACAGGGCAGATAGAGTGGTTCAGTCCAGAGAAGTAGAACAGGGCTGCCCCAGCACCTTTCTCCCTTAGGTACTGGTACCTGTCAGAGGTTCTGCAGAAGCAAAGCTGAGAGAGGGGGATATGAAGTATATGAACTGGCAAGTTCCTTGGCCTTGAGATCTTATCTACCTCATGCATGTTTCAAAACAAACAAAAAACCCCCACAAAACACCTGCTACTAAAGTTCCATTTGTCTGGACTAACATAGACTAGTAAGGGAGGTAGTATCAAAAAGGGGGTAGGATCAGGCTCTGTGGAGTCAAGCGCATCTGGTATAAGTCCTGGTTCCATCATTTCAAGCTACATGATCTTGGGTAAGTTACTGAACATTTGTAAACCTCCATTAGCTCATCTGTATAATTATTATTAAATTGAAGTGAAAATACTGATAAGTGGATGAGGATTTCTTACTCTCTAGTCTGTCTGTGGCTGAGATGCCTTCCTTCTTTCCTACTCCCAATTAACTGCCAAAAATAATCTATTTTTTTCTTGCACTAGGAAAATATTCTTGTAGCTTTTTAGTCGCCCTAGTGAAAGGTTTGGAGGAAGCTGGGATAAGGACTATTACATAATGTATGTGCTTCAAAAACAAGTTTTGAAAAGCTTATAGGACATGACAAAACATCAAGGCAATTCAAGAAGTTTCAATAACCACTTGCTATGGCATTGGACTCTCTGGAAAATAAACATTAACTGCAGGCTGAAAAATGCTTATCATTCCAGCACTTTCTTCCACTTTCTTTATTTAATAAAAAATGAAAGTTCTTAGACTTGGGAAAACTCATGGCAATTAAATTCAATTCATGGTCTACTAAAAACCAACACTATAATGGTGAATATTCAAAGGATAAAAAAACTGAGAAACGCGTTGGCAAGCTGTAATAGAGCTTGGAAACAGAAAGGGATGGCCCTGGACATCAGGAGCTGTCTAACTCACCTCTACTCTGGAGAAACAGCTACCTCCCTTTAAAAGCCAGGCTACTGTGAACTACGCATGTTTTTAATAGACCCAATCTGTTGGGAACTGGACAGGCTCAGAATGTGAAAGTTGTTTGTTTTTTAATGTAACATTTTTAACAAAACTCGTGGGAATAAATAGTATATTAAAACTATGAGATTACAGTAAAGCTTTCAAATTTAGAAACCCAGCAGCTTTGAACGGTCTCTTATTTGCTTTTAAGAGATCATAAAACATACAATTACAACCATGAGGGGAAAAAAGTATGGAGGTTATTTTTTAAAAAGAGAAAATTAAGTATGATTTTTTTAGTTACCTGAGTTGGTGAAAGTTTATGCCAAACATAGCAACTACTTGCCCTACATTTCTGGAGAGGGCAGAAAAATAATGGACTTATACTTACCAAAAAACAATCTGATTTAGAAAAATTTCCAAAACTAGGGCATTAAAAATCAAAATAGATCATGAAAGGAAACTTTAGAATTTATTACTCTGGATAATAATTGCTAATGTGGTAGGATCAGTTAATTAACGAAGCATTCAGACGTAACCCCTCTAGTTATGACAATTCTCTGTTCCTTCCGTGATTCCAGAAGGCATCAGGTATACACCCTATGTAAAAAATGGTGTTTGGAAATGTCCTTGTATAATTATGTAAACTCAGAATTCTTGTCTTTTAAAAGCCATTCTTTAAAAATTAGTAAGCTATTCCATGATTATAGCAAACTAGCCAAAAGATGATGTGCCATATGGATTTTGTATAAATATCTTAAAGGTTTAAAACAAGTTATTTGTATCCCAAGAGTAAACCTGAGAAGAAAATACCTATATACAAAGTTCTTACTAATGAAGTCCATCTGGGGAACTGCAGCAACATGAATCTTCACTTCTTTCCTCCCTCCAACTTGACTTAGGTACTCCACCGTCCATTTGCTTGTGCATGTCCCCAAATCAATTCCTTCCAACACTACAGGTTTCCTCTACAAAGGGGAATAGTACAAAAACAGGACCCAACAATATATCAGGAGTTGTATTTGACAATAGAGGGATAAAAAGAAATTTATTCCAAGATGCTCAAACTCAAACCTTTTGACAATTCATACTGTAACTAAAATAGGAAAAGGACCCATCCAATATACTTAGAACAAAATTTTAACATTAGGAAAACCAAACCAAACAGAATAGTGACATCATGAATAGCTAAGAGATTAAAAAAAAAAAAAAAAAAAAAAAACCACCTAAATAATCTAATTATTTAAAGCATTTTCAGGAATGTTATTTATGACTAAATGACTGAAATGTGTATTTATAGTCAAATATGTTTGTAACTTTTTATTTTGATACCATTTCAAACTTATGGCAAAGTTGAAAGTACATCACAAAGAACTGCCATTTACCATCTACTCTGATTCCCCAATTGCTTCCTGCACCATTTGCTCTCATTCTAATTGTGTATAGAGAACAAGATAATTATTTTCTAGACTATTCAGGGTAAGCTGCTGATACCATGTGAAAGGACAGAACAGGACTGATAGCTGTGTCCTTAACCCCTCTTCCAAGAAAAAGCCACAGAATGTATCAGTTACTCAGCTTGCCCTTATCTCGGCCAATGGGAAAGCGGGGGAAACTAGCCCAAGGCCAAGAGAATGCTAGCCACCCCCTGTCATTGTGTAACCAGACCCTCGCTGCACCTGCCCTTGGTCACTAGCCCCCGGCCCTCACTCAACCAACCAGAATGGGCCAAATCAGTGGTCAGAGTGTGCCCCCACCCCCTGACCCCAAGCCCTATAAATTCTTTGTTCCCTTGGGACTCGGGGCTCTCTCTTGCATCCAGTAATGAAGGCAGGGAGGGGACCAAGTCCCGGGCTTGAATAAAAGACTCTATACTTTTGCATCGGACTCGGCTCCCTAGTGGTCTATCTTGGGGGATCTTGAAATCTGGGCATAACACCATGCACCTTTATCTCTAAAAACTTGAGTGTGTTTCCTGAGAACAAAGCCATTATTTTTTTCTCTGAGTTTTCCTTTAAAGAACTAAGGTTGGAATTACACACATAAGGGATTCCAGTATTTGAACTAGAACCCGGATTAGTTAGCATCCAAGACCAAAAGCAGTGGCTGTTGCTTGAGGGAATTCCCACTGATTCCCTTCGGCTCCGTACAGTGAAAAATTGCTCTTTGAAATCCAGTAAAGTGGACTGACGGGCGCCAGTCACGCCAACAGGGGAGCCTGGAAACCTATAAAATATAAGAAACCCAAAGGAAGACAGCAAGGCGGGCGGGGTGGAGATGAAAGCCAAAGCGCCCTTCGTTGCCAAGGTAACGGCAGAAGGCTTCCGGTGGAGGCTCCAACGAGGCCGCTTCTTGCAGCGAGCGCAGCTCTCATTAGTGGTTCTCAACCTGTGGGTCCCCACCCCTTTGGCGGTGGAACGACCCTTTCACAGGGGTCGCCTAAGACCACCCTGCATATCAGATATTCACATTACGATTCATAACAGTAGCAACATTACAGTTATGAAGTAGCAACAAAAATAATTTTATGGTTGGGTCACAACATGAGGAACTGTATTTAAAGGGCCAGAAGGTTGAGAACCACTCCATGTCTCCCGTCACGCTGTTCTCTCCGGAATGGATGAGCCGGGGACATCCCCGAGCGCCCACTCCCCGGGGCGCAGAGCCCACCGCCCTTTGTGACGCCCGCCGCCTTCTCCCCACTCCCCGGGCCGCGAGGAACAGGTTGGGAGGCAGCTGAGAGGCAGGGACTGGACCCCCGGCTCCCGCGGTCCGGCACCGCGCGGGGCCTCACCTGTGGGTAGAGGTGCTGCACGAAGTGCTCCTGCGAAACACCCTCGAGCCGGGGCACCGGGAGGTGCTGCCCGGCCATCGCCGCTCGCGCCCGTCCACTTCCGCGTCTCGGGAGCTAGGCCTACGACGCGTTCCTCCACAACCGACCCGCCCGGAAACCCGACCCGCGAGAAAAGGCCCGCGAGGCCGCTGAACTCGCGAGAGCGGCGGGTTTCGGCGGGGCTGCGGCCCCTGTGCGTTGTCTGCTGCAGGGAGAGCGGGGAGGCGGCGGGCTCCCCCGCGGTGGCAGCCACGGGCCAGCTCCCCTCGCCAGTCCCGCTCGCGAGCCCAGCTGAGCGGGTGGTTTCCCGCCGGCGTCCTTTCGCTGCAGCACCGGCCGGCGCCGGGGTGAAAGGTCGCAAGATGGCGCTGGCGGCTCGCCTTTTCCCCCGCTGGCTTTTGTCCGGGCCTCTGCCCGGAGGAGCCGCCAGACCCCGGTCCCCCGGCCGAGCCGAGGGGAGGCCGCCCTTGGCTGGACTCTGCTGCCTCTGCCGCCGCCACCTGGGCTGGACAACGGCCCCATGTCCTCCAGCTTCTTGGGCCTCGGCGGCCTCGGCGCTGCCTGCCCGGGACCCCCGGCGGCCCCTGCTCCGCCCCGCGGGGCTCCCCGCCGCCCTGCCCGCGCTCCCCGCCGGCCCCCGGCGCAGCTACAGCTCCGAGGAGCAGCCCCAGCAGCGCCAGAAAACCAAGATGCTCATCCTGGGCTTCTCCAACCCCGTCAACTGGGTCCGGACGCGGATCCTCGCCTTCCTCATCTGGGCCTATTTCGACAAGGAGTTCAGCATCAAGGAATTCTCCGAGGGGGCGAAGCAGGTTTGTTCATGCCCCGGGGGGACCCGGGCACGTCCAGGCGTTGAGCGGAGACGTGTCCCCACGGGCCCCGGGTCACCGCGGGGAGCGGCCCTGCGCGCAGCCCTCCGGCCGCTTCTCGACGGCGAACTGAGCTCCCGCTTCGGTGCGGGGGCCGCGAGGTCCTCGGTGCCGTGGAGACACCGGCGCGAAGCCCCCGGCCACCTCTTCGCTCTCCGCAGGCTGTGACTCAGACATGGACTCGGAGCTCATTTCTGCCGCTTGAAGGTCACATTGCTCGCTTTTCTGCGCGTGGTTTTCCGCGAAATGAGAAAGACGAGGTCTGTCCGTTGATAGGTCCATGTGACATGCGATCTTCCCTAGCGCTGCGGCCATCAGCCACATTAACCATATACCGTGCTTTTCCCTGTATCTTGCTTGCCCGTTTTAGCCTTCTCTATGAGAAGAGGGCTGTGTCCTCGAAGACTCTTCAGGTGAGATATTCCTTATCAGACCCCTCACGGCGGTCCTGGCACGAGCTCCCCGGCTCCCCGGGTTGAATGCCGAGAACACAGGTTAGGGCCTGTTCCCACAAGACTGCCTCCACTGCGCACACCCACCCACACTTCTGATCCACTAGCTGCGAATCGGGGTTCCCACATCTCTCAGTAATTGGCTAGTGGCTCCCAGAACTCAGGGAAGCACATCACTTGCTCTTTCCAGTTTATTCGAAAAGAGCGGCCTAATGAAGGAGGTGCACATGGCAGAGTATGGGGGAAGGTGGGGGGGTATCCATGCCCTCTCCAGTGCACTGCATCTCCGAGGGTCACCCGCCCAGTGGCTCCTAATCCTCCCATTAGGGTTTTATTGAGCTTCCATGGCATCGGTGTGATGGATTAAGACGTTGCCCTTGATGATTAACTCAATCCCCAGCCCTTGTATCCTCCTTGAAAGTCTGGAGGTGGAGCTGAAAGTTCCAAACCTCTAATCCCAGAGGTGATTCCTCTGACAACCCAGCCCCCTAATAATGAGGGAACGTCATCTCTCCGACATGCCTGTGCCTCCTCTCCTCCAGTTCTGCAGACTTCACCCCCGATGGTACTTGCTGCAGGAAGCCCCCGGCCTCCCAGAGTGGCTTAGGTGGCTCTTCTGTTTGCTCCCCAGCATCCGGTCCTTACCCGTCACATGCTTGCACTTGTCAGTTTCCTTGCCTCCCTCCTTACTCGAAGACAGGTCGAGTTTTCTGCACAGCCTCACTTCTCACTGCTAGGATGTGGAGGGTTGCAGTTTGCTCTCCCGGCTTTGAAATGGGGCCTCATACTTCAGAGTGGAAATCCACTGTCGTAGACTGCAAACGCGTTATCTTTCCTGCCACTTTCCCAAACCTGCTTACCTAGCCTCATGGCTCAGACTACAACCCAGATCTTTGGACTCTCAGATGCAATTTAGATTTGACTGCGTCTCAGCTGCTGTTTATGTTTGATGAAGCGGGAGGTGGGGCGAGTCGAGTAGCACTCAGAATGGATGATTACTCCGTCATTATTTTAAAAGGAAATGTGCAGGAGGATTTTTATGCAGGTCCCAGTGTGTACACCACGCACTCCCTTTTCCCATAGTTGGCAGTCTGCCTACCCACTACTGTGTATGTGGGAGGCCCTAAGAGAAGAGAAAAGCCAGACCGCTAGGAGGCGCTGTGCCTGACGTTGGTGCATTCGTGCTTGGTGTTGTTTATCACCTTTGTCATAAAACGGTCTGTCGCACTGGCCATTTAAATTTGAGCATTGAAATAATCACCACCCTCCCTCCACTATTTTTTTTTTTTAAGGCTTTTGCTCATGTGTCCAGATTGCTGTCACAGTGTAAATTTGATCTGCTGGAAGAACTTGTGACCAAAGAGGTAAAGTATACTTTTAATTTTCCTATAAAAATAAATATATTATTTTCTTGCAACCAAATAATATATATAGTACATTATCTACACTAATAAAAGAGAAAAATGGTAATTGGTGTACGGTGCTACCCTTTTCATTGGCTAATCAGGGCTATATGCAAATTAACTGCCAACAAAGATGGCGGCTAATTTGCATATGTAGGCACAATGCAGGGAGGCGAAAGGGAAAGCAGGAAGAAGCCCCCTGCCACTGACAGTGATCGGAAACCCGGGGGGAGCTAAGAGGTGGGGGGCAGGGCAAAGGCGGCCCTGGGGCCGCCTTTGCCCTGCCCCCCAGCCATGATCGGAGAATCAGGCGCCTTTGCCGCCCTGGCCAATGATAGCAGGAAGTAGGGATGGAACCAGCGATGGGAGCTGGGCACAGTCGAAGCTGGCAGTCCCGGGAGCTAGGAGTCCCTTGCCTGGGCCTAAAGCGGAGCCCACGATCACAGGGCCGCTGCAGCTGCAGGTCCCCGCTGCCCAAGCCGGACGCCTCGGCCAGAGGCTTAGGCCTGGGCAGGGGCGGAGCCTGCAACCGCGGGGAGCTGGGGATCCCCTGCCCAGGCCTGACACCTCTGCCGGAGGCCTCAGGCCTGGTCAAGGGGCCGATCCGGTGATTGGTGATCGGAGGGTGATGAGGGTCAACTCCTCTGGCTGAGGCATCAGGCCTGGGCGGGAGGCTGGGGGTCCCCTGCCCAGGCCTGATGCCTGGGTCAGAGGCATCAGGCCTGGGTGGGGGGCAGAGCTGGGGACTGGGGGGATATGATGGTCCCCTTGCCCAGGCCTGAAGCCTGGGTCAGAGGCGTCAGGCTTGGGCGGGGGGTGGAGCAAGCGATCAGAGGGAGATGGGGGTCCCCTGCCCAGGCATGATTCCTGGGCCAGAGGCCTCAGGCCTGGGCGGGGGTCAGAGCCAGTGATCGGGGGAGATGGGGGTCCCCTGTCCAAGCCTGACACCTCTGGCGGAGGCGTCAGACCTGGGCAAGGGGCCGATCAGGCGATCGGAGGGTGATGGGGGTCTACGCCTCTGGCCGAGGCATCAGGCCTGGGCAAGGGGCAGAGCCAGCAATCGGAGGCGTCTGGGGGTCCCCTGCCCAGGCCTGACGCCTGGGCCAGAGGCATCAGGCCTGGGCTGGGGGCAGAACCAGTGATGGGGGGAAATGAGGGTCCCCTGCCTAGGCCTGACACCTCTATCAGAGGCGTCAGGCCTGGGCAAGGAGCCGATCCTGCGATTGGAGGGTGATGGGGGTCAACGCCTGAGGGCTCCCAGTATGTGAGAGGGGGCAGGCTGGGCTGAGGGACACTTCCCCCCCCACACACACCCAGTGCACGAATTTCGTGCACCGGGCCCCTAGTCCTTATATATGCTTAAAAATAGTGTGTGCCATCAGCCAAAGCAGAGTCCCTGTATCATTCCTTTTGGATAAAAGCATTGAATGACTTGCTACTAAGGCATAAGTAAGTAAATGTGACATCCCTCGATTGTTCTTATATAAAATGTTCTGTTATAAATTATCTAGTTCAGTGGTCGGCAAACTCATTAGTCAACAGAGCCAAATATCAACAGTACAATGATTGAAGTTTCTTTTGAGAGCCAAATTTTTAAACTTAAACTATATAGGTAGGTACATTGTTATTAACTTAAGTAGGGTACTCCTAAGGCTTAGGAAGAGCCACAGTCAACGGGCCAAAAAGCCGCATGTGGCTCTCGAGCCGCAGTTTGCAGACCACGGACCTAGTTGAATGATTAGATGATTTTTAGCCTTGCTTTTGAAGCTGAGTAAATATGGTAGTAAATTTAAAAATAGGAATAGAAAAATTCATTCCATGAACAGTTTATTGAGTTTCTTGAAAAGCTTTTGAAAACTTGAGAGGTGAATTACAGTTTGCTTTTTCCAAACTTAGCTGCTGCTTGTGTTGAAAGAAAAGGTTACTTCACTACCTGACAGCCACAGAGATGCCCTTGCTGCTGACATGGATGAGATTGTGTACACCTCCACAGGAGACATCTCCATTTACTACGACGACAAAGGTAATGCTGGAGCGTAGGCGGCTGTAAGGGACCCACGGTTGTCCAGGTAAACTAAACTACTGGATGAAAGATCATGACATAGTGGGAGTTTGTTGGTACAAATGGATACTCATGGGACTTCAGATAAAATAGTATGTTCATTCTTTAAAGACCTAGCTCTGGAAGAGCTGCAATATGGTAGTAGTTTCTTAGGCCTTTTATCTGGAACTTTGCCTACCACTATTTAATTCACAGGCGAGAGCATCGTCACGTTGATGAAAATAGTCTGTCTAGGACAGTGATGATGAACCTATGACCTCTGACACGCGAACTCATTTTTTTGGTTGATTTTTCTTTGTTAAATGGCATTTAAGTATATAAGATAAATATCAAAAATATAAGTCTTTGTTTTACTATGGTTGCAAAGATCAAAAAATTTCTATATGTGACACGGCACCA